GGAGCGGGGAGGCCTTGGGGCCGGTCCTGGCCCGGTGGTGCTGTCCGTGGGAGGCGTGGGGAGTGCTCGGTAGTAGCCGGAGGTCACTCCTGGCCTGCGTCGCGTAGGCCCTGAGCGCTGGGAGGGATTGGCGTTACTGGGAAGGATGGGCGGAACGGGAGAGGGAGCGGCTGTCGGAGGAAGAGCAGGACAGTGAGGGTGTGAAACGAGGTTCGGTTGCATAGGGCTTGAGGCCTGGTGCTTGGAGGCCGGCATAGGTACCCTAGAGGATAACAGTGAACAACTCTTGAACAAAGCAGTGGGAATTGTTTCCTTTAAAAGGAAAGAGCCTATGGGAGGATGGGCTAAAAGTTCTTAATGTGCCTAAAAGAGGATGCTCGTGGCTTTCTATAGCTATTGTAGGAAGGATCTGAAGAAATTGCCTGAACTTGCAATGGTGGTCACTTGGGCTATTTGAAAAGCCTTTTTAAATGGTAGGGTAATGAAATAAGTGCAGCTTTTTAAGGATGGGTTGGACAGATACCTTTTGGGGCAGACAAAAGTAAGTCTGCTCCCTCTTCCTGGCACTGACCTATATCCCCAAATCCTCTTCATCCCAGAGCTGCAAGACGCTGTCTTTGGGCATTCAAGAGCAGGGAGAGTCCTGGGTAGAATATGAATTTTGCATTTTAGGAGCCTTATTTTGTTGCATTTAGGCTTAAATGCAGTTGCCTTTCACAGCACAAAACTGTGACCTCAGAAGCATCTACAGCATTTCCTTCTCAGCAGCTGGTGATCTCTGGGACTCGGCAGCACAGCCCTGTTGTCAAACCAAATCTTAAAAAAAAGCAGTTGTTCACAAACCACTGGTTCTGCACTTGTGGCAGCACTTGTTTTGATCATGTTTGAGTGCAAGGATTTAGACTTGACAATCTCTTGAGGTCTCTTCTATTTGCCTTTTCAAGATATGATACTATTAATGGGCAGGCCCTGGTACGAATGGGAAATATTCCTTAGGCCTTAATTAGGTGCTATGAAAATGCTAAACAAGGATTTTGTCATGATTTATTTCCTTAATCAACTCCTAGTTTTAAGGTGAGCAATGGCTGGTAAATATGAGCATGAAGGTACTGAATGAGTCCTACAAAACAGCAGTGCTCAGTAAGATAGCTGGTAACTTCTAAAGACATTTATTTTATAGGCACCATTGCTATATGGAACTTGAGAAGAGAGTTTGAATGAAAGTGATGGACATAGCTTTCTGGTGATTTGTGGTACCTTTAATGTGTTATAATGTGGATTTGTAGACAAGATGTGTATTTTTTGTGTATGTATTTGCTAATTTGTATCCCTGTTATTGCAAGAGGTCTTTACTTACCTAGTTACTTGCTGAGTATTTATTTCAGGTATAACTTGGGTCCTGGTATACCGAACAGACAAATACAAGAGATTAAAGGCTGAAGTGGAAAAACAGAGCAAGAAATGTAAGTACTTTTCAGATATTAGTGAATGGGTCTTGCTTCTCCTGTTACATCCTGCTTTAGCAGATGCCAAATTGAATGGCCTGGACTCTGAGACATTCCTGCTGCCTCTTCTGCTAAGGGAGAAAACTTTCTTCTTGAATGTCATGGGAGCCTAATTTTACAAGTTACATAAATCCATACTGAGAAGACATTTCTGTCCTTAATTCTTCTGCTGGAGGGAAGGCTAGTACAAAGACCTGTTGTGTTGTCTAAATTGCCCCTCCTCTTAATGGAGGACAGGAGGGAGTAAGAAGTCAGTACTGGCATCTTTCTCTTTCTGAATATGAGTAGCTGTTGTCCGTATACGTAGATTCCTTTAGATGCCTGAAATAAGTTCAGAGTTTCTGCTTTTCAAGGGCAGTGGAGAATTTGAGATGTGTAATAAGGAAGAACTAGGGTTGAGTAATGAATGCCATGAGAGAAAAGCAGTAAAGAGTGATGATTAAGGGTGGGGGATGACTAAAGACAAAGTCATGATAGAAAGGTCTGAGCTATCAAATTATACTAGTGTAAGCTAGAATCAAATAGAGTTGATTAGAGGAAAAAAAAGTCCCAAGTTACTTCCATAGAGAGGAGATCTGTGAGGCCTGGGGGCGGTTGAACAAAGGATGAGGAAGGAAGGGAAAGGGGAGCAGAGGGTGAGCAGACAGAAGATATGCATCGGATATTAAGAGGAATGATAAACAGGAGGGTCTGAGCATGGAGTGCTTCAGTAGAACTGTCTGTACTGGAAGCTAAGGAACAGGAGAAATTCAGCTGACCTTTCAAGCTCAGTTGTATACACCCTACACAAGTTGCAGCAGTAAGAGACAGCACAGCACACAACAACTGGGTCCAAACCTGAGCTGGTTTTACCTTAAAAATAAGTCACAGTTATGTCAGTTCTCTCAGTATGTGAGCAAACAATGTTACCTAAGCATGTTCTTTCCAGTCTAGCTTTTCCAGCCTTCTCCTGGGCAAAATAAACTGAAGAGCTGAAGTGTAGTCATGCTTGTGTCACAGCTCCTAAATTAGGGGCTTTGGTCATCACAGCAGTATCAAGTGGGGATTGCATCTCTGCCTGCCTCACTTCAATCCCAGTTGGTTGACAAAAAATGTGTAGGGTGGAATTAGCCCCAGAAGAGCAAGTTGGAGAAGTAGTTGAAACCCAGCTGAAAGTTTAGAGTCAGTGTTTGTAGTGTGTTTGTGCTGTGGAACTCCAAAAGCAGTTAGCACGGTTTAATCTCTGGGGCTTAATGATTGCTGTAAGAGTTTAGTGCTGTTTGTTTTTATAGCTCTCCTGATAGCTTGGCTATAATCTGTGAAGGGGAAGATGTGAGGTTCATGCATCTCAATTAGTTTCTAACTTTCCTTGTTTGATTCCTCATCCCTTACCAAAAAAAACCCAACAAAAAACAAAAACAAACAAAAAACCCAAAACTAAGGAATCGCTGAAAATTCAGCTTTGATTTTTGTTTTTGTTTGGTTTTCTCTTTCCTCCTGTGCTAAGGACAGCTGGCTGACCTGATGGCTTACAGACAACTTGCAAAGTAGACCACTTGAGCCACACCTTTCAACTGTTATCTAACACATCTGAAACAGGAAAAAACACATTTGAGATCTTTAAGCTCTCCCATGAGAGTCCTAGCAATCCTTAGGATTTGCAAAAACAAATGGACCAAGTAGTGTGTTGGAGCAGACATTGTTACTCACAGTCCCTAGTTTCATCTCTTCCTGTCCTCTCAATAGAGTCGCAGCTTTGTCCGAGACTGCTGCAGACGTTATATTAAGTGTTCCCAGGTAAACACAGTGGTAAATTTGCAAGGCTGAAGGCTGTCTCTAGAATTGCTGTTGTGTTGTCATGTATGTTTACAAGACTCTTGACAAGTTATTTGTTCTGCTTGAACCATAAGAGAATTAGGGCTGTAGAGTTCCTCTGGGACCTGGAGGAGCCCTCTTGTTAGGGCTGGGAGCAATAAGTGGGCCTGAAATCAAAGTGTTTTCCAGTTGAGTTTAGAGTTGGGGGACGTGGGGTTATGTGGACTACGGTAGGGATAGACTGATCAGGATCCCCTAGCTGGATTTGGCATAAAAAGGTTATGGAGAGAACATTCTGTGAGCGTTGGGTGTGTTGTGTCATCTGGCACCTCTCTCCAGCATTCCCGCTGAGCAGACTTCCCTGTTTTTCCCCTTGTGCTAGTCTGCCCATCAGAGATATGCTTGTTCTTTGGAAAAAAAACCCCACAACCTTATCATGGGAGAGGTGATATTTAGGTATCTTGTCTGTACTAGTGTAGTTTTTTTAGCAGTTGTGACTGACACACATCACATGCATTTCAGAAGGCAGTGCTACAAATCCTTGTGTGGCTTGGAAGTCTGGCTGACAGTTTCACCTGTGCTTTGAAATCAAGGCTGGAGGATCTGTGCTGAGTACTTTGTGTTGGATAAGTCCTAATGCTCAGGTCTCTAGGCTGGTTCAGTGAGCTAACAAGGAGCCAAGTCTGTTCCTTGGTAGAGTCAATATGGTACAGATACATAGAGTTCAGAGTAAAAAAGGGCTACTATCTGTTTGACCATAGCCATGCTTTATCATCCTCACTTCTTGTAGTAGTCTTGTTATAGGTCTTAAATTAAAACGTCTCTCTGAAAAAGTTCTTCTTGATGTCAGAAGAGCATTTGGAGATGAGCAGCCCATTTACTGTGTTGTAGGTTTACTATTGCTGGCTTTACGTTTGCCTTTTTGCTGTGGTGATAGTTGTTTGCAGATGCTTGGTGTCTGATTCGGGGTCTTAGTAACTTGGAGCTTAGGCTCCTGCTTTTAAACTATTGAAAATGCTTCAGTACTAATGAATTGAAGAATGGACAGACTGTGGCTGACTGTTTGGACAGCATTTCCCCTGAGAATGTCTGCCTGTGAAGAAGTGATGTATGAGAACACAAGCTTTCCTGTATTCTGCTTCCCACTGCAGATAATCAGGAGCAGAGCTTGCCACAAAGCTCTTTTCATTACACTTGCTGAATCAAAAGTACTGTCTAGTACTAATGACAAATCAGCAAGGGTCATTTGTGCCAAAATTGTCCCCAGACTGCTCAGTTAACAATGTAATGGGCTCTTGACAGAGTTTAAAATTAACCCATTAAATATTCTGATATCCAGGGGTTTGAATTTTTTAAAATTGTTTGATGGAGTCAGCCTTAGTGGTTTATAACTTGTTGATTGTGAATTATTTTCTTAGTCATGCCTTACCTTCCTTTTGTGCCTCTGTTCTCTGAAAGAATAAAATGTTTTGGTGTGTGGAAAAGGAGTGGTAGTATCCCTCTGCAGATATAATGGAACTTCTTTCTTTTCACTTGACAGTGGAAAAGAAGAAGGAAACGATAACTGAATCCGCAGGCCGACAGCAGAAAAAGAAAATAGGTAAGACTGGGAAAGGAGTATGGTGCCCCAAGAATAGGGGAGAAAATGAGAAACTTATGGGACTGATTATCCTTTCCTTCCTTTCAAAACCCTTTAAAGGGGTACTAGAGCTGATTCTTGGCATGATGACTGGAATAGGAGCACTTTTGCCTTACTCTTCAAAGACAGGCGACGTCTAGCCTCCTGATGGTTTTAGTCAAATGCAGAGAAGGGCAGCATCACTGAGAAAAGCAACACTTATTGCTGAGCTGGTTGCCTTTTCAATTTGAGCCTTTATCTGTGACTGTTATTGACTTCTGTTGTCAAAGCTCTTTGCTGCAGTGCACTGTCAGCTTGCAATAGCTATTTGACTATGATTGTGATTCTTTTGGATCTTTCTTTTTCTCTTATTTGAACACTTCCAAGCTGAAAGTGTTTGCCTTTTAACTGTAACTACACTTAGATTTCTTTCAAGTTTGATAATTTTGCTCAATTTTAGGCAGTGATTTATTTTTCCATTCTTCATTGTCACTGAGCTTAAGTCTTTCTGAGTAAAGGTAACTCTAAGTACTGAACTATGCAAGAACAACATGGTAGATCTTTAATGGATGTGCTTTAAAAAGTTCTGTTATCTGCAGGACTCTAAAGTAAAATGTGCAGCAAAGTTCAGTTAAATTATTACAGAAGTTGTGGCAGGAACACATCTGAGAGCTCCTGGGAGTTGGTTTCCTCATTCCTCTGTAACACCAGGTAGCTGGATTAGTCATTTGATCTGTACAAAGCTTCAGAATAATTATAAACAGATCTTCAAACAGTTCTTCCTAGGTATAAAACCTGTTATCGTTAGACTTCTCAAGGGACAGGAGCCAAAATTCTTCCTCTTTTGCATTTTCAGTTCTTACTTTTGAATAATCCCTGCATACTACTTGGTGGATAAGGCAATTTATTAATTTTACATGCTCGTTACATATAGTCGCTTCTGAACGTGGGGCAATGACATTTTCACATGGCACCATCCAAGCTATGTTCCTAGCAGAGAATATTTTACTTGTGCTTGGACTAAACTAATAAACAGTAGAATCTGAGGAATTCAGATTCTCCACCAATTTTTTTATATACTGAAATAATCTTGTTTTGCAAATGAAAAACAAAGCACAAAGGGACTAAGAACAGAACTTAGGAAATGACCACTGATGTTGTTTGCTGTCATACTTGCTGGTCAAGCCTAAGATACCGAGACTGATTTCTTTTTTTATTTTTTTTTTTTTCCCCTCTACAAGTGCCACATAACTTCAGTGTCTCATTTGTTTTCAGACGAAGCTGAATTCTTAGTGTTTCTGAAAAATCGGGCCCTAAATGTCAAGTTTGACATTCAGAAAATGACTCGGAGCGTTAACAGCTTTTGAAATCTCTGATCCTTGTAACTTACTGCATGTCAAATCATTCTGCAAGATGTAGCATTGTTGTAACAGCAAATTTATTTGTGCTGGAAGTCCTTTAAATTCTACCATTCTAGTTTAAAATAAATAAATAAATAAATAAAAGAGCTGAGACTTTACAGATAAGTCACAGGCGTGGTACAGACCTGCCTCAGTTGCCATCTGTTCTGTGCACAGAATAAGGCAGGAGGTGTGTGTACACTATTACTTGGTTACACAAGGGATGAATCATGCACAAGGAGGTAGGGTGAAAGTTTGGAAGGCTTAATTTGGTGTTTCTTACTTGTCAAACTTTGTATTTTTAAGTGTAAAGTGAACCAACTTCAGTCATGCTATGTTTAAATCACCTTTCACACTGCTGGAAGACACCTTTAAGATTGCAGTGCAGCCTTCAATCATTTCATCTTAAGAAGTGTGTTTGTTAGCTTAAACTTTGCTACTGCTTTCTGTGTCCATGTGCCCCTAGAAGAAAAGACGATGACACTCCCAGTAGTCCATGTGAGTGCTGAGTAGACTGCAAAAGAAACAAACAAAATGCAACAATGCTTGCAAATAATACTAGTGCTGTATCCCTGTATCCTTGTGGTTTGTGTTCCGATGAGCAGAATAAGATGATTTTAGACACTAGGGTGCTGCTTGTTGATCCAGTCCTCTTTCTCTGTGAATCTATGCAGCAGTATAGCAAAGTGCTTAAAACCTGCTTATGTAAGATGGGCAGGAATAGACCATTTATGTAAGGTGGTGTGACACCCGGAGTCTGTTTGGTTTGAATTTGTAGAAATAGGTGAGAACCAGCTCAGGTGTATTGAGGGATCAGGGCTGTGTTCTTTGTCGCTATGTAACCTTTAGCCCATCAAAATAGATGGTCAGTTATGTAGCAGAGGAAAAAAACAAGTACTTGTGCCAAATGCGATTCCTAAAGAGCTGGCCTGTGGTTGCTGAAATGTCCCGGAACAAAGCTCTCCACCTGGGTCAGGAAGCAGGTGCCTGGAAAATTCCTGCCAGAGGGGACGGTTTGTAGTTAGAAGCAATTGAAAATAGCAATGAGTATTCTAAGAAATTGGACAGGGGTGTTGCTATTGCTTTTCATAACACTTGAGAGTCCCTGTATTTAGCAGGGGCTTGAAAGATACTTGTTGAGATTCTATGCCATGGGCCTCTTCTATTGAAACTTCAGCAGGGATCCACCAGTCAATGCGCATGCTGGACAGCCCTTCTGCATCCCCACCCTCCCCTTATTCACACTGTTCTTTGGCTACGTCTTCATTGTCCACATCCTTACTTGAACTAGGTGTTGCTTCCAAGCTCTAGCTGCTCCTCTGGATCCTCAGTCTGAGAGGAGTACAGTGGACAAGGAATGATGGGGACATGGGACAAGAAAGGTGACAGGTGGTGGATAATGCTTGAGGCCAGAGCAGCCCTCCAGTGAGGGGCATGGAAAATGCCTTCCCAGAAAACTGGGCATCTTTTAAGTTTGTGATGACTTAAGGACAGACTAAATTTCCCAAAGTATTCTCCACAAAGCATAGTATTACATGTATTACTGAAATTGAGGTAGAAAACATCTTTCCTCTTTGGAGAATCTTTTAGGTGTGGCAAGGGTCCAAAATTCATTACTAAAACCAGTAGGATGTTAGCCTTGGTGAGGTGCAGCAGTGTGTACAGTTCTGGGAGTCCCTTCAGACACCTCCAAAATGAAATCCTTATATAATGTATTTGTAATGGTGATCCTGGTGTGCAGCAAATTGATACTGCTGTCTTTCTGAAGTGTGATATAGAGGCACTGTCTTTGTTTTCTGGCAGCATTGGTCATGCTACTGTGTTAGTTGGTTGAGTTAGCAAATTTGACATTCTGTGCATTTCTTTCAAAAGTGCTGAATGTGTGATTCTAGCCTCCTCCTCTTTTGTGCCTGCTTTGCTGCATGTGGCTGTGATGGAGGAGCAGTTGGCTACGTACAGTTTTTCATTTTATACTGTCTGGCTGGAGAGCTGGAGTTGGTTTTGGAAGTGTTATTTGTTTGGAGAGCAAAGAAGGTTAAGTCTTCCTGGAAATGAAAACACTGGTTTCTAGGTTGGTATAAGTGATTATAACTGTTGTTGGTTTTGTCTTTCCAGAGAGACAAGAAGAGAAACTGAAGAATAACAACAGGGACTTGTCAATGGTAAGAAAATTAAAACCGGTTCCTGATTGCTAAAGATTTTGGTCAGTTTTCTGACAGAAAGACTTTGATCAGTTGGCAGACATAGTGGCTTTTCCTCCTGACGGGTCTTTCTGCATGATCTCTAATTAGAGATTTTAGTATGAGCCACAGAGTTCTCCAGCAGTTACTGCCTCATCTCATGCCCAACCTTAGTTATTTTCATCTTTATAAGCCTCCATGATGTTTTCAAAGTAGAACTAACTTTTCTGACTTCCTCTTGTAAGTTCTGTCATCATAATGGTCCCCTTATGATTGGTTGGTTTCTGCTTAAGGAAGAAAAAACTGGTTGACTCCTGCTTAAGGGAGAAAACCAACCTGTGGAAGGTAACAGGACAGTTCTTGAGCACTTTTTTTTTTTTTTCCCCCTTGAAGCATCTCTTCACATCAGTGGTCCGCACTGTGACTGCCTTTGTTCCTAGTTGTTGACCAAACTTTTCTTTGGGAGTTCTCTGCTCATTTCTACAATCCCTCTGGCCTTCTGGGTCATCTTTTTCCTTCTAGATTTCAGTGATGCTGTAAAAAGCTTGTTCTTAAGGGTGTGAGCCCATGATCCCTCAGTGTAGGCCTGTTTTGATTATCTCTGACCTTTCTGCTTGCAGGTTCGGATGAAATCCATGTTTGCCATTGGCTTCTGCTTCACTGCCTTGATGGGAATGTTTAACTCCATGTAAGTATCAACTTTGTGGATCTTTCTTAAATTTTCATGGTGAATATATTCTGCACCTTCCCTCTATCACTTGAATTGTTACTGTGTGTAGGGGGGGATGGGCTACCAAAACCCCCTGCCATACACACACAAACTCAACACATGGTGACGAGTCTCTCCAAGAACCATAATTAATCTGCATAAAAGGGATTGATATTTCATATGAAGATGCAGTTGTTTGGTCACCACACGCATATTCTGCTCAAGAGGGACCACCACGTGCTGAATGCCATCGGACTGAACAAATTGCATTTAATCTGGTAACAGATTAAATAACTCTAACATCCTTTTTGCTTGAGAACGTCTTGATCAAGGCAGGTTTGGTAGATGTCAGGCAAGCAGCTAGTCTTCAGCTTATTTGGCTTTGCTGTAATAGTGTGACCAAATAATGCTCTTGCAGTCGAAACTGGGTCAGCTCCCTTGCACTTAGAAATGAGCTATAATTGCAGTTTGTTGTTGCCCTACTTAAGGTAATCAGAGTCAAGATATTAACAGGTCCAAGCATGGGCACTAATCTTCTTTTGCTTTAAAAATGACCTGGGATAGGTCTAGGTTGGGTTTTTTTTAAAAAAACAAAAAATAAACAAAAAAAACCCACAAAAACCAGACCGAAAAAGCCCTAACTGGTTTGCATGGTTATAGACAGCTTTGTTTCATATATCCAAACTGTGACTTTTTAATAACTTGATTTAGTCTTGAAATGTGAACTTCCCATTGGCTGTTAAAGCTGAAGATGACACAAGTATGGTTAGTATAACCTTCAGGAGGCTGTTTAATATCTGGGCAACGTACTTGTCCTACAAACAGGAATTTATGTTCTGGGACATCAAAACCTTTGGCCTCTCTGCTGACAGTCTGCAGGATACAGTCAGTTATTTTACTGAAGATCTGTGGGTGGATAAATTGCAAACAGGGGGGTAACATAATAACAGAAATGCTACTGTGTGGACTCCTTATGTATTTAGCTTAGTCAGACTTCAGCATCTAGCATTCTCTGGAATGCTGTGAAACTGAGCAGAGGGGCACAGTACTACAGGACTCTAAAATTTGGATACAGTCTTGAGTCACTGATGTCTCATTTCACTGCAGCCCTGAGCAGGGATGGTAGTGCATCGTGAGTCATGTGCCCAGCAACACAGCATCTGTCAGGCATTTTTAGTGCTGCACCAGAGGCCTTCAAGTGCTTGCCTAGTGGTTTGAGTGCAGTACAAACACCACCACCTCTGCCTCTGAAACAAACTGAAAAACTAAAAAAAAAAATCTCCCCACTTTACTAGAGTGGGAAGAGTCAGTTCAGAGTATGCTATAAGTTCATCAAGAGCTTCAGGAAGGAATTGATTTTGGTTAAATCCTGTGTGGCTCCTCCCTCCATAGATATTAACCTAAAAAAAACCCCAAATTAGTTAATTGGTTTCTTCTCCTTTAAGGCCACCAAGGTTACTTGTCTTGTTCCTCTTTAGAGGATTCCTGCCCACAGAGACCATGCTACAAGACAGAGTTGACATGAAGCTTTTGGGCGTATCTTTCCTTTAGAGGGATCCTGAACGTGAAACACAGGAGTATCCAGACAGCTCAGTAATAGTTTGAAGTGAAATAGTTTTCTTGCTAATAGTGGAGGCTGTTGAATTAAAATCTAAAGTTTTGGGTGTCTGGCCTTTGGGGCTAGGTAGTTAAATTTTTGCTCCTGGTCTCAGTACAAGGTAGCTAGTGCATTTGTATCTGAATGGCAGCTTTTGTGGGTTGTATCTATGTTTGAAGCTGATAGAATGGTTTGATGGAACTGGTTCTCGCTTAGGCACTGTCATTCTCTTGACATAGCATAAAGAACAGCTGCTTGTCTCCGGAGGAGAATAATTTGTTCTGAATTCAGGAGGCTCTTAGACTCCCTCTGGGAAGCTGCTACTGCCAGGTCATCCATGGAGGCACTGTAGGTGTGGTATGAAAAGGGTGACTGACACCTGCAATGGCTGTGGCCTCATTTGCTTGCTTTTCCTGTTCTTGAATGAGTTCATTGCTCTGGGGAGATAAAAAAGAGTGGGAATTGCATGGAAGTAGCATGATGTGTCACCCTTTGGACAAGTACTATGCAGAGGCTCTTGCTCTGTGGCTGGGTACCTCACCTTTGCCAAGCACCAGCTTGGCCAAAAATGGAGATTATTGTGATGACTGCCTGTTGTGGTTTAACCCCAGCAGGCAACTCAGCCACTTGCTCACTCCCCTCCAGTGGGATGGGGAAGAGAATCAGAAGGCTAAAAGTGAGAAAACTCATATGAGTTTATATCAAGACAGTTTAATAGGTAAAGCGAAAGCCACTCACGCAAGCAAAGCAAAACAAGGAATTCATCCCCCTCTTCCCATGGGCAGGCAGGTGCTCAGCCAGGTCTAGGAAAGCCAGGTACCATCATGTGTAACAGTGACTTGGGAAGACAAACACTGTCACTCTGAATGTCCCCCTGTCCCCCCCTTCCTCCTCCTTCCCCCAGCTGTATACACTGAGCATGATGCTGTATTGTGTGGGATATCCCTGAGGTCAGTTGGGGTCAGCTGTCCCAGCTCTGTCCCCTCCTGACTTCTTGTGCACCCGCAGCCTGCTCGCTGGTGGGGTGGTGAGAGGCAGAAAAGGCCTCTGCTCTGTGTAAGCACTGCTCAGCAATAACAAAACCATCCCTGTGTTACCAACACTGTTTCCAGCACAAATCCAACATGCAGCCCCATACTAGCTACTATGAAGAAAATGAACTCTACCCCAGCTAAAACCAGTACACTGGCACTCTCTCTTACTAGAGTGTCGGTACTAATGGGGCAGCAGGGTGTACGATGCTGGAAGGATATTTAAGTGTCAAGAAGGCTGGTTTGAACCTGAAGAGCAGAATGCTGTGTTGAAGATGAGCAACTGAATGAATGTGGCTTAAAAGGTGTGCTAGAGCAGTGAGATCCATAGTGGTGGTGGCCTCTAAGCAGATGGGATTTCTCCTGGGAGAGAATTCAGCTTCTGTGTGTCTAAATTTTCTCTTGTCAGAAACTTTTTAATACAATCACTTCTCAGTCTTGCTCCAAGTTGTGCATTTCAGTACCCTTTCATGATATCTGTGAAAAGCTGTTGGAATTAAAAGCAGATACCTCGGAGTGCTACTGCTGAAGTACTTGTCATTCCCACAGCAGGAATAACGCAAAATTTTAAGCCACTGGGGGATGTTACAGGGAGATAAACATCCGTTCCTAGCTCTTTTGCCAAACTGCCTGTGAGATGTAAACAAAGTTGGCGTGTGTTTGAGCTGTAGCTGTGTGAACGCATCTCCACAGGAAAGAACGCTCATTTAGGATCTCTTGAAACAAGAAACACCTGTTAGAAAATCAGTGCATGCAGAGAAAATAACATCCAAATATACACATGCTGATGAGGCATCATACACTCTTACTTCAAAAGATTGGGTTGACTGTCTGGGTTGGGAGAAATTTTTGCAAACTGGCCAGAATTCACACTCTGCCTGATGCCCTGGAATGTGGACCTGGAGGAGTTCCAGGAGCAGGACAGCCTGCTTGGAATACGTGGTATCATCGTGGCTCTGCACTGCCTTTGTCTTCAGAGCTAACGCAGAGAAGACTGTTGGTATTAAAAAGCTTTCTGTTGGTGGCTTTCTTAGGCATCCTCCTTGTGCTGAGAAGTATAGCTGCTCTAGGAAAGGAAGAAGTATGGCTTAAAAGCAAACAGACCATTTTCTTGCAGTAACTGCAGTAGAGCAGGGCAATAGTCATCCATCCTTTATTTAAGTGCTGACTGTGTTCTGGGAGGTGATTTGCTAAATTTGAATAAATAAAATTTAAATAAAATTCACCTGTAAACTGCAAAATGCCAACCAAGATTTTTATGAACCAACAGCTTCTCCAGCTGATCACTTAAATCACTATGAAACACTTTGACAGTGGCAAAACTCTTACTGAGGGCAGTCTCCTTGCTCTGTGGATGGTTGGGTGTGGAGGGCTTTGGGAGAGACGTGTATTTAGCCTTCTTGGTGTAGTGTATGTAGAGGTGGGCTGGAGAAGGCAGTGTGCCTTTTTAGCCTTTCATGTGGTCTTATCTGCTGTGGTGGTCTGTTGAAGATGCTCCATTGTTCTTTCTATAGCCAGAGACTCCTTTACTGTCCCCCATTGTGATCCAGTGCTTTCTTTTTCTAGATTTGATGGCCGAGTGGTGGCAAAGCTTCCATTTATACCCCTCTCGTATATCCAAGGTCTCTCCCACCGCAACCTTCTGGGTGAAGATTACACTGACTGCTCCTTCATCTTCCTCTACATTCTCTGCACAATGTCTATCAGACAGGTGAGAGTACATTGTGGTGTCTCTGGCAAAGCACATCTCCATCCATGAAGGGGAGTCTATTACTGCCGTCCAGTCTGATCTGTTTATGGTTTCTGTGTTTGATTCAATTCCTGTGCTTCATATTCAAAGCGATTTGAGGATGGGATCATAAAAACCAGCCGCTATCCTCGACTGGTGGGGAAGACTTGACTGGAGACTTGCAGCAGGGCATTAGGACAGAGTTGGCAGAAATGGGTTCCTTCCTTGTGTGTGTGTCTGATAACTTGCCATGTCAAGAGATTGTCTCCGTTAGAAACCAATCTAAGTACTGCTTCTTAGTAAGCATTACTTTTACAGTGCTATGAGAAAAAAGAATTGTACCACCTTCAGGGGGAACTTGCTTTGTGGCTTGAGGTTCTATAAAGGTTCAATCAGTCCATAAATTTGCTGAAATGGTGAGGAAAGAGTTAAACCTGTTCTTTTGGGTTTGTCCTTCGTGTTTTTGCTGACTGATTTTTTTTCAGAGTCTTAAGAACTTTACCTTTGGTGTGGAGTCTCTCCCAGTGTTAGGGTGTGACATAGAAAGGGAGTCTGGTATAAGCCAAGAGTAGGCTACATGTAGTTCCCCAGAACAGCTGATTAGTCCCATCCTTTGGAAAGAGAAGCATCAGTGAAGATAAGGGAAGTGCCTGTTCAGGAAGGTTTGTTAGCTGCTTAAGTGGCAGAATGGTTGGTGAGGACAAGTGGGCCTTCTCAATGCAACCAGAAGCCTACTTTGCCAAATTTCCCCAAAGAGTGCTGGGGATAAGTTAATAAACTCTGGGGGCTGGATGAAACTAGCTGCAAATTATCTGCTTTTCAGTATTTATATTTCCTTTTTCTTTAATTCACTTCCTGAATTCTTGCTGCTTTTCTCCTTGACTGACATGCTGCTTTTCCTCAGGGGATACCAAAGGACTTAGAAAGACTTAAAGCAGATAAGCAAAGGGAAGTGGTGTATTATGCCAGCTGCTGTCAGAAGTTTGGATGAGCATGATGGAGCAGCTTAATAATAGAGTTCCTTTAGTCACAAAGTGCATGCTAGTGAATTGAATTCTCCATCGCTCTCTGTACTGGGTGCTTGTGTTGAAATGGATCTGTGTCTGGTCCTATGTGAAAGCAGATAATGAATCGTAGAACAATTTATGTTGAAAGGGTCACCTGGAGATTGTCTGGCCCACCTCCTCACTCCAAGCAGGGCCAGCTTCAGAGTACCAAAGGCCAGGGGCTTCCTCATTCTGTTTGCTGCAAGACAAACCTTGTTTCACTTCCCAGTAGCTGGAGCAGTGTTTGCTGCTGTGAAATAAATGAGACCTTGTTAGCAATTAGGATCATTTTCCTGAATTCCCTGGGATGCTATGGTCTGATGCTGTTCCTTCAGGCAATCTTGTCTGGTGCTGCTCTCTGTTACTCACCTGTTATATGGGACTTCCTTTCTTTCCAATGTCACAGATGAAACTAAATAGCACCATCAGCAAGATTTTTCTGCACCCATTGGGTTGATTGGGGAACTCCCTTTCTGAAAAATCCCCCATGGACTTTTTTGGTCGAAAAATATAATTCCTGTGGTTAGTTCTAGTCCTGGGCATTTCCTGATATTTCCTATTGTGAAATCAGTACACATGAACTGAGTGGTGGTCCAGTCTGGTTCTGGGCAGAAATGCTGAACTGTTTGCAGTAGGTTGGGCTTTTAAAAGAAATTTTGGAAAAAAAAAATGCATCTGTGCTTGAGAGTTCACGCTGATGGCCCTGTGGAGGATGGGTGTTGCTTTACTGCTTTGGAGAAGGGTGGTTTTGCTCCGAAGTATTAGACTGCAGTCTTCATAGTGCTGCGTTATCTACATGATCATACCTGTCATTCTCCAGCTGTTAAGCAGCTCAGTTTCTTTCCTCCTTGCTACCTGAAGGGAAGGGCAGAGACCAGCCCCATTAGTTTGTGCAGAAGCTAGGAACTGAAGCTGTGATTGCTGGCATCCTGCTCTTGGCTTTATTAGTATTTGTAAAAATGTAGGTGATAACAGCATTGGGAAAAGGACTTTGAAGGGCTGTGACAGGCTAGGGGAAAGGGGAAGAAAGTAATTAAGGGCCTAAAATGGTGCCAAAGACTTGCTTTTAGTGCTTTCCATGACCTTGGAATGAAAGCTTTGTGATCCTTTGTGTTTCACTGTGTGTAAAGGGGGAAATCTCGCCAGGCCAGCTTCAAAACAGCTGTTAGGCCAAGGGGGAAGAACTGCTGTGGGAGCTAGTGTCTGGCTTGCTGCTGCTGACACAAGAGGAGTGGTGATATACTTAAAGTCAGGGAACAGGTTGTGAACAAGCTAAGGAGGCCATGCATCTCTCAGCCTTCCCTTAAATCCTGGAGCTGCCTGTGAAGGGATCAAAGACAGGGAAGAGACATCCCTGTGGAGCTCAGAAGTAGACGAACTCTTGTGTGTGTGAAAAGTGTGACCTGGAGGGAAATGCAGGGGAGTAAGTGAGGGTGGGGACACGAACTGGACAGTTACTAAACTGACATTAGTGGGATGGGCAGTAGTAGCATTAGGCAGTCTCTTCACGTGGTCCTCAGGCATGTGGGGGTGATAAACTCTTCAAACACTGACTGGGAAGCTTGCTGTCTGTGACCTGGCCAGCATCTCCCAAAATAGTCAGCTCACAGTGAGTAACTTCCTTTGCACTGTTCCCAGCTCTCCCTGGCACGTAAATCCTGTCCCCTAGTTCCTTCTGCCTTCCTGTTTGGAGAGAGGAGGGTTGCTGGGAGAGGCCTTCCAGGGGTCCTTGAGTGGTTGGGTCTCAGCTGGGAAAGTCTGCTGCTGGGCTGGGCGGGAGGTGTAATGTCAGGATTACATCCTCCATCCCCACTCCTGTTTCTGAGCTCTCAGCCTTCACCTGTGCTGTTTGTGAAGGGGAATATGCTGCTCTTCCTCAGGTGTTTGCTGGTCTTCACTTCCTTTTCACACACACCTCAACTGTAGATTAGGCTGCTTCTCTCTGAAATGTGTTCCCAGGGGGAATGGGAGCCAGCAGTTATCCCTACTGCCAGGAGTCCACTTCCCTGCACAGCCTGACTTTGGGGCAGGGAGCCACTTGTTGCCTTGTCTTTGAGGCCCCTTTTGGGTTTGAAGACAAAAGCAGAAGCAGCTCCTGTCCTTGCAGTCATTTGAGGAAACTTCAGAAGAGCTCAGATGAGGAATTTGTATCTTTAAGTCTTGCAGTCTTCCCTCCCTGCTCCTGGAGGTGATGGTCTTGTTTGTGTTGGAAGTAATCTCTGCAGACTTCTTTGTGCAACGTGGCCCACAGCAGACAGGACAGGCTTCTGCTGGACCTTGCCTTAGCTGTGGTGTTTCCAGCTGTGTGGACTTCAGGATTGCTAACCAGCAAAATTTGTTTTGCAGCTAAGCGCAGGAGTCTAAGCTGCGGTCCATGGCAAGGTGGGGACTACTGTGGAAGGATAATGTTGGAGAGTGACTGTAGTCTTGAATCCACATACACACAAGCTGTCATCTCTCTTCCCCTTGGAACTGTTCAAGCAGATGGAGTAAACTTTAGCGCCGCAGGTCTCCTTTCTTGATACTTAAAGGAACAGGGAGGAGGCAGTGCACATATCTTTGCTTTCATGGATGCTCTGCTAGGATCTACTCTGCTCTACGGGTGAGCCAGTATAAAGCTGGTAGGATCCTGGTCCTGACTGCTGCTGACTCTGCAGCACCCTCTGGTGTTGCTGAATCTGTCCCTTTGCTACTTTTGTTTTCTCCTTTCTGTTCATCTCTTGATTAAAGAAGCTCTGAGGAAGGAAACACATGAAGAACTCTCCCACAGTGAAATGCTCTCTTACATATTCAGTTGTTGAATATCATCAACCAGTGGCTGATTTATGTAGGCCATGGATTAAACCTGATGTAATTCCTTTTCAAGTGTTCCCCTCTACTTTCATGCTTGTGTGGGGGCTGAAACCTTCCTTTGCATAGTCTCCACCTGGAATGACTACTGATTTTTTTTTTTTTTTTTTTTTTTTTTTAATTTAGCTACTGTGGAATTATGAAGCTCAATGTGCCTTTTGTTTTTTTTTGTTCTCCTTCCATGATCAAAACATTCAAGAACTATGACCTTGCTATCTAACCTATCCTGACAGTTATTTGGAGAGGAAACTCAGGTTCAAAATGAATCCTTCTTCCTCCTCTTGTTGTCTTGATAGCCAGGACTCAGCTGGTGACATGAGGAGGCTACAGTTGTTTCTCTTGCATCAGATGTCCCTGTTTTGCCAGCACTGCATGAGCAGCATCTTGAGCTGTAGTTATTTACAGTGAAGGATGAAACTGAAAGAACTGCTACATCTTTGTAGTTTGCACTGTTGCAATATTTAAAAGGAATTTCACAAAAACCAAGAAAAACATCATATTTAAATATTCTGCTCTGAGTTTTTAGCTAATGCCTGGCTCTGCTACTTAATTCTTTCCTTGTTTGTTGTTTTCCACTGAAACACCCTGCTCAGATACAGATGAGGTCATCCCAATAGTCAGTTTTCGGGTTTTGCTATATATGTCCTCTTATACTGCATGTCTCCACCGAACCATTGTTCTGTCTGCATCACTAGCATTCATGTTAATTCTGTGCCTAAGCTCCTGACTTTAACTTGGCACACACTCTAGTTGCCATGTTGCTGACCCAAATTCCGTGTGCATTAGGAGAGAGCCTTCCTCGCCAGCTTGCAGACCCTCAGGCTCTGATGGCCACCATCAACAGTGGTTTCTGGAACTTGTGAAAACTGAGGGCTGCTTTGGTTCTGTCTATGAACAGATGTTAGGAACCTGCTCCTGTGTTGCACTGCAGTTAAATTGTAGGTTTTAAACCAACCTGTGTGCAAAGACATTGAGGTACCTGCCATCTGACTGTGTGGTGTTGTAGCTGGCAGTAGAGAAGAACTCTTGACCAAAATGTGGATTTAATAATCAGAAGACATTTGCTGAGGTGGGGAAGAGTGGCCCAGCAATAATTGTAGCTGTTGTGGATGGTTGTCTGGCTCTGTGCTAAGCTTTTTTGAATGCATAGGGCTAGAGGTCCAATACATAGTAGCTGGATTGGTAAGGCTGTGTGGGTGAGAACCTGAATCTGTTGAAACTAGTAGGAAGGTTGTACTTGTAAGCAGGGTTGGGATTTCTTACTCTGTCTCCTTTTGTCACTGGTCTGACACTGTCCTGCTCTTCTGTTCTTTTTTTGCAGAACATTCAGAAGATGCTCGGTCTTGCTCCTTCCCGAGCTGCCACCAAGCAAGCAGGGGGCTTCCTTGGCCCGCCACCTCAGGCAGGGAAGTTCTCCTAAAGCACAGTGACAGCCTTCATGGAAGGTCTGACGAGTGCACAAGACTGCCTTTGGGAGGTAACAAGCTGGGATTCTGCACCAGGCTTCACATGTCCAAGAGTAGCCTATGCAGTATTGGCCACAGTCTTGGAAACATTTTCCATTTGGAGTATTCTACCAGCAGTTGTTTGCTCATCAGACCAAGAAAGTTCTCAGAAGATAACTTGACCTTTTGTTTCTGGTGTTTCTGAGAAATAAATGGCATGGGCATGTGTTTATTTAGGCGTCTCTTAATTGTGCTGTAAGACAAGTAAAAACATGTTCATATAGTGCAGTTGATGTAGTTTACAGTGTAGGAATCAACTTGGATAGCAAGAATGAGATCTGCAAAGCAGACAATTTTGAACATTCAGAATGGTCATGCTGTGAAGTGACTCTCGTGTCTTAGCCATACTGGCCACAGTCCTGTGGGGTAGGGAGCTGGGCAAGTAGGTGTGCTTAGTTCTCCCTTTGCAAACATTGCAGCCTGGAAGGTTTTTTTCACTGGCTCGGGTGACTGCAGGCACTGGAACCAGCCCCTGTGCCAGGCTGCTCTTGGAGGATACACGTGTTTCTGGATGTACTGTCAGCCTCTGTCTTCCTGGCAGAGTACAGCCCCACAGAGATTTTTGTGGCATTATACAGCTTCTGTAAAAATTGCTTGTTTAGGCAGAATCTGCTCAATTAGAGAAACAAACCTGGCCTTTAAACTTGAGTAAATTGTTAAATTACGTCAGTACCATCCTCTGCTACTGAACCCTTTATTGCCTGAGTGGTTATGACAGCAGCACTTTTGTTCATGCTCCTTAGTTTACTGCTAAACAGACTGATGATCGATATCCATTTTAAAAGGCTTTCTTCTTAGGCCAGGGAGCTCTCTAGATTGACTTGTGCTTCACCAAATAACTATCTGGATCAGTCCTGTTGGCTGGAACCTGCTCACCTTGTTTAAAAGGGCTGAATAAGTCGTCCTGCCACTATCAAGTTAAGCTGGCAGTTTTCCTGAAGCAGGCAGGGCCTCTCAGAGCTGTTGATTTCTTGCTTCTGTGACCAGAGCTTTATCATGCAGTACCTTTTACAGGGAGTTTTTCACTATATGTACGGCAAGGGAATAAATCTGAAACACCTTATGGCAGCGTGAAACACATGCAATACCTTATTAAATACTAAATATTGGATTAATTCTCACTAATAAGTATGGGGCACTTTTACAGGATTATTTAAAGATAAATCATGATTGGGGAACATTTATTCAATGCTCTACCTCTCAAAAAATGAGTATTTGGCAGGTAACAGAAAGCATCCAGTGTATACTGATGCCACCTGGCTCTAAAGCTGCATTTCTTTACTTACTGTTATATCTAGTGTAACTACAACCTTCCCTAGGGAGCATCCCCTGTTGTGTGATTCCTGTTTCCCTTGTGTAGCCTCTCTTAGTTCAAGGGCCTCACACCCCAGCAGAGCCAGAAACACCCCAGCGTGTTACCTGCATGGCTCAGCCTTGTTGAAATAGTTTATTCAGCAGCATGTGGTTGCTGGATCCAAGAGGATCGCACTAAGGTGGCCATGTCTCATCCAGCATAGCGACAAACTGTGCCTCTGTGGCTTTGGATGCCTTAGGTGCAGTACAGTAACCTGCCCCGCTACTGTCAGAAACTGCATCCTCAGCAAATCTGCACATGTTGCATCACACCATCTTTGTTATCTGGGGAGGGAAGCATTTGCAAGTCTAAACGTTATCTGAAAATTACTGATCTGTTGTTGTGTGCTGGTTGCATTCTGCTGTCGTTTGTTTGATCCAGTAGTGGTTAATCATTGTAACAAACTGAGGAGAAGAGCTTTCCTAACCTCTGCCACTGAAAGGACAATTCTAAGAATGTAAACCAACTTTATGACCACAGGAAGACTGGTTTGGAGGGAAAAAGGATGTTCATGGTTCTGTTTCATGGGTAACTTAAAAAAAAAAAAGGGCTGTGTGTTTCAAGATAAATTGCAACTGCAGTCACATCTTTGAGGGAGTTTAACTACTGCCAGCTGGTGATGCAGTGAGTGGTAATTCACATGTGTTGCTGCTTGTCCTTTGCTCCATGGCTTGTCTCACAGCCATAGCCCTGCTCATTTCTGCTTCTTTTTGTCCTTTACACAAATTGCAGTGTGGTCTTGTGTCCTGTCTCTGGCCACACCTGTTCGAGGAACTCTTCAGAAGCTCTGTGAAATACTTCCGTGGTAAAATATGTCCGTGGGCGTTTGCTTTCCTGCGGCTCCGCCTTTGGCTTGTATGTATCGACTTACTCTTTACGAATATTAACAGTTTTACCAAAACCTTCAAAACCTTCAAAACCCCTGGGTGGGGTGGGATGCTACGACCTCCGAGCCGCCAGGGGGAGCCCGAGCGCTGGGCAGGGCCGCGGGCTCCGTCCCGCCCAGGCGGGCACGCATGCGCATGCCCGCCGGGGTGGGGCGGGGCCCGCCGCCCTGAGGTTAAAGGCCCCGGTGGAAGCGGGGCCCTACGGCTGTGTCGCCTCGTGTCGCCCCACGGGGAACAGTCTCTCCCGTGGGGTTTCCCTAGCCCACCGCTTCCCCTCACCCCATCGCGCCGGCCCAGCGAATGCTGGCGCGGTCGCGGTTGCTGAACCTCTTGCCCCAGCTCTGCGCCCTCCAGCCCAGCCTCGCCATGAGCAGCGTTACCGGTACCGTCACCATCCACCAGCCGCTCAACTACCGGGCGGGCGCCCGCGTTCAGCCCGCTGACGGCGGCCAAGCCGAGGATGTGTACGAGCCGGCCACAGGTACCGCCCCGCTGCCTGCTCGGGGTTGGGGGTTGGTTAGGCCTGCGCGGAGGCGCAGGGCCGGCGCCCGGCCCGGGAGCTGCCTCCTTGGTATTTACTTGCAAGGGCCGGGTGCCTTCGGCTTCTCCCAGCCGCCCACATCGGCCTTACCGAGCAAAAGGCGTTTGATGCCTCATCTGCAGGCGCCCTGAAGTGTTTTGGTGGCTGCGTTTTGCTTCCTGCAGCACAGGCCTGTCATCAGGGTTTTTGGCAGAAATCAGCTCTGGCTCTCAGTCAGACAAAAAATTGAGCAGTGCCAGATCTTGGTAAAGGACATGATTTAAACATTTCTAAACTTAATTATTATTTTTTTTAATTGGAGATAGCTAGGTTTCAGCAGAATCACTTCAAGAAAAAGTGTTGCACTATGCAGAGGAATGTGTAACAGAGTCCTGAAGCTGGTGATAGAAGTATAACAAACTCCAGTGGGAAATGAAGGAATTTAATAACAAATGGAGCTAATCAGTAACTAGAACATGACTATGGAGAATGGCAGGAGAATGACCAGCTGAATTGCAGCACCTCTCCTATAGCCAATGTCAAACCATTGATAAATATAGCATGAAGTTCTGTAGCCTGGTATAGGTGGCTGGACTGAAGTCTTGGGTTTTGATGTAAGATAAACCATATTCTTCAGTGCCCCTTTTCTGAAGTTTATGTCTTATTTAAAATATCCCCAGGTCGAGTAATAACCAAGCTGCTCTCCTCTGGGGAGAAGGAGGTCGATCTGGCTGTGCAGAGTGCAAAGGCTGCCTTTAAAATATGGAGTCAGATGTCTGGCATGGAGCGGAGCAGGGTGCTGCTGGAGGCTGCCAGAATTATTCGGGTATGTTCGCCTCCTCATTTGGAGAGGGGTGGTTCTGTCTCTGAGCTTTCTTGTGGGCCAATGTGGTTGTTGTGGGGCTTCCAGCAGGACTTCCAGAGCTCCAGGAGGAACACAGGAGTTAACACTTGCCTTTGAACAGAAGAGAGTAGGTTGCCTTGGGCAGGGCTTTAGTGTCATCACTGTATTCAAGGCCAGTGTATACCTTCTCTGCTTAATTCTGTTAGAAGACATAAAACTGAAGTTGAGATCTCGCAGGGCTTGTACCTCTTTTCACGGGTCCAAAGATTAAGTTTCACTGTACGTGATTGCAAAGCTGAAACTGCATAACTGGCACATTTTTGAACTTTTGAATTGTTGGACACTATTGTCACATGATTGGAGTGTGTCTTGTTTTAGCAATAAAAAAATGTAGGAATGATGGTTTTTATCTTAGATACCAGATCATACACATGGGAGAGAGAGGATACAAATAAACTAGCTTTATGACAAACTGCATTGTGAGATAAGATGTTCTTGGACACTGAAGTTAATCCCCATGGAAGCACAGACCTGTAACAAACCAGACCTTCTTTCCCCAGTGTGTATATGTGATGAGAAAACTATTTTCTTTCTGCCAGATTTCTGCTTTTGCCAGATTCTGCAGCAGGGTAATATTTCTGCCTGGGAGATCATCTGTTAAGGGATGTTTCCCAGCTACATTGCTTTGTCCACCCTTCACTAAGTCATCTGGATCCATTTTGAATTCTCTGTTTGCAGTTCCTCCCATTTTAGTTTGATGAATTCTAATCATTGTTTGCCATCTGGCTTCTAAGTTCAGGTTTGTTCATCTTTTGGATAAACAGGGATATTAAGCAAGACTGGACTAGCAGTGAACCCCAGCAGCTGTCTGACATGCCCAGTGGTGACTGATCCCATGGGAAAGTGAAAATTAGCAATTGGGACTGTGCCTTTTAGAGATGACAGCCTCTCATGACAGAGCCTGGCTTACTGGTGGCAGAGGCAGAGCCTCATTTGGGACTTGTGTGCTTGAGAAGCAGCTGTCTCCTTGTGAGTTCTACTATGGGCTTCTCTAACACGGTGTCACTGTCCTGTGCCTCTCACAGGAGCAAAGAGAAGAAATTGCAACCCTGGAAACCATCAACAATGGCAAATCCATCTTTGAAGCCAGAGTGGACATTGACATATCCTGGCAGTGCCTGGAGTATTACGCAGGACTGGCAGGATCTCTAGCTGGTGAGAACGTTACTGGAGTTTGCTCTTTGCTCTCTGTCCTGCCACTTGTGTTCCCTGGTAACTTCTATGGCACAAGATTGTCTTTGCTGTTGATTTCTCCAAGAGATGAACTACTTGTTTTTCTGAAAATCTTGGAAGGATTTTCAGAGATCTCTACCTAATGCTGCCATGCTCTGTGTTGTTCCCAGTCAAAGTGGGATCTTGCCCCTGAGGCTCTAATAAGACAGGAAGGGGCTTTGCTTTTCTCTACCTTCTGGCTGCTTTTTTTTTCTTCACAGGTGAACACATCCAACTTCCCGGGGGATCCTTTGGGTACACTCGAAGAGAGCCCCTTGGGGTGTGTGCTGGGATTGGAGCCTGGAATTACCCTTTCCAGGTTGCCTGCTGGAAGGCTGCCCCAGCCTTGGCTTGTGGTAATGGAGACCCTCTGCCTGTGCAACCTTCTTTTGAAAGCCAAATGATCCTGAGGGGGTGAAGTGATTTGGAGGATAAAGCCTAGTATTACCTTGAAGGAGGTGTTGAAGAATCAGCAGGACCTTCAGGCTGTTACTCTGGTGGGAAGGGAGAGGAAATGGAAGTGGGAGCACAGCAGATTTGAAGGGGGCAGGGAAAAGACTGGTTGCTTGGCTTTTTCCCAGATGAGGAAGATCTCTGGAAATGTATGCAGTGCAGGACCAGCAGCCCACCTCCCCCAGCCCTTCTCAGCAGGAAGGTGCAGTTCCTCCCTTTCCCCAGTTGCAAAGTTCAGCTGAAACTGTTTCCTCCTCTCTTGAGGGGATCTTCTAGCATCTGTTGAGACAAACTCATTGTGTGGGATAGGGGTTTTTTCTGTTTGTTTTTTTTTTTGTTCTCTCTAAAGCAGTTTCGCTGTTAACCCCACCTTGCCTCTGTCTGGATTCCCCTAGGCAATGCAATGGTCTTCAAGCCCTCACCCTTCACCCCCCTTACGGTGGTGAGGTTGGCAGAGATCTTCACAGAGGCCGGTGTGCCCAAGGGGCTCTTCAACGTGGTGCAGGGTGGAGCAGCCACAGGCCAGTTCCTCTGTCATCACCCAGATGTGGCCAAAATCTCTTTCACTGGCAGTGTGCCAACTGGCATCAAGGTAAAGGCACCTTCGCACTCAAGGACACAAGGGGTCTGTAGTGCCAGCCTTCCAGCTGTGCTGCGGATGTCAATTCCTTCCTGAGCTTTTGTGCGTGAGGCTTGTAAAGATAGAGTGCGAGTTAGCATTTTTTGGTCTGAGCAAGGAGCTTGTGCATACAGGGTTACACTGGGGCTCCAGTTGGCCTGCTGTGCACAGACTCAGGCACTGGGTCCTTTTGGGGGAGCCCCTTGGTCATCTTCACTTGTTTAGCCCTGGTTGCAGTGAATTGTTTGATCTGCTGAAGTGAGGTATCTGTATGTAGAGGAGGGTACGTAAAACAGAGAAGCCCCGGGAAAACGTGTGAGTGTTTCTGACAGTAATATTCAGTTTAGCAGCATACAACCTGTTTTTAAGCAGCAAGTTAGTTTTTGTAAATTTCTTGCCCTCAATTTATTCTTCAGAAAATGAGAAGTCCCTAAAAGGGCTTTTAAAAATAAATTCTGATTTGAAAGAGGGGAAATAGTGCCCTTTGAACTCTCCTTACATGTGTGTACTTGTGGGGTCCATTGACACAAGATGCAGTTACAGCTGTCCTCTGGGCTTATGCTGAGCACGAGACTTCCTGCAAATGACTCCTCAGGTTTTGTTGCTTTTATTTTTAAGAAAAAAACCCCCAGACCCTCTGAGACTGTCCCCAGCTTGTCTTTTGTGCTGCTGATGTGGGTGAAGGGCCCTGCAGAAGCTCTCCCTTTGAGGGTCTCTTACCTCCCTCCACCAGCCTCCTCTTTGCCAGTGGGTCACTTGTCCCTTCTGTCCTTTCCCCTAGATCATGGGGATGGCAGCTAAAGGGATCAAACCAGTCACCTTGGAGCTGGGGGGCAAATCCCCCCTTATCATCTTTTCAGACTGTGCCTTGGAGAACGCCGTGAACGGAGCCCTCATGGCCAACTTCCTCACGCAGGGCGAGGTTTGTATCCGCGGGGCAGGAGCAGTTCTCCCCAGTGCAGCGGAGTGTTTGAGAATTGGGCAGCTGAGCCAGCCTGTGACTTTGCATGATGAGGGGTGCCCTGAAGCTCCCACCTTGCTATGCATTTCCCTGTGCAGTGTCACCAGGGATCAGAAGATCCTAGCAAAAGCCAGTGCAGGGCATCCCAGCAGAGGGTACCTTAGCCAATGCCCTGTCCTTCCCAGAAGTGGAGCTTCTCTGACACCCGGTACAGAGCTCGGAAGAAGCTGTGCTTGTGTCCTCTGGAGGGGCAGCAGGTTCCCATCTGGTGCGCTGAGCCACAGCCCTATGGGGCTCTGTCCATCCCAAATTAGAGATCTCCACAGGTGCTGCAGGTTTTGTGTAATCCTGCTGACAAATTGGTTTATTGGGACTATCTCTGTGAACTGAAAACTCAACCCGAGTTCTTTTCTGCTGGTGACGATGCGTTTTTTCCAACTGGTGGCATCAGTACCGCTATGTCCAGCATGGACTGTTCAGTGGAGTCATGAGCAGCAGGGTAATTGAGTCTTCTTTGTTCCCAGGGACAAGTTAGCTGTTTTAGCAGCTGTGGAAGGGCCTTTCTGAGTGCCTCTGTAGCAGGACACAAGCAGGGAGGGACTCTGGAGTGCTGTGTGTCTTATTCTGAACAGCCTGTCCTGTATCCCAGGTGTGCTGCAACGGCACGCGGGTGTTCGTGGAGAGGAAGATCCTGGATGTCTTCACAAAGGAAGTAGTGAAACGCACTCAGAAAATCAAAATTGGAGACCCGCTTCTGGAAGACACGCGGATGGGAGCCCTTATCAACCGTCCCCACCTGGATCGTGTCCAGGGCTTTATCAAGCAGGCAAAGGAGCAGGTGAGATTGCAATGCTTCCTTGTGACTGCCCTGAAATGTCTTTCTCTATTGTTCAACACAAGACTGGCAGCTGCTTTCCTGCCCCACATCTTCTCAGTTAAGCTGTTTTTTTGTTATGGTTGAATAATGTGATAGGTGTCTTGGGCTGCTGGATTAAAAGTAGACCACTGCACATTTCTGAATCAGCAGCAAAGGTGACATATCTTGATGTTGCCAAGTCTTAGAGGTTGTGAGATACGCAGCATGGCAACATGTAAAACGGGATAATCCACACTGTTTGGGCTGGTTCTAAGTTGTGGTGACACCTCGTGTACTTTGCTGTTGTCTCATTTGGGTTCCAGTTTTGTTGGTTGAAGAAGGAGCTTACTAAGGATCAAAGGCCAAATTTACAGGCTGTTGGAAACAGTCTCTCTAAGAGCAGTAAGATCTACCCAGGCTTTTTCATTTTTTTTCTCCAGGTTTTATTACAAAGTGTAGAGATGCTTTAAATGTCAGTGCTAGGTATATGAGTAGATGTAACCAGCTTGGAGATGGCATGGAGAAGGGGAACTATGAGTGAAAGCCAGGAGAGGTAGACAAGGATTTGGAAACGGATGTGGGGTATGAGAGGAGAAATCCCCATCTCTGAAGTTGGGTGTTTGATAGAGGTAGGTGCTTCTTGACAGGTAGTGTGCTAAGGGATTGATTGATTTGCTGATGAGGCAATTCACACCGTGTGAAGATGTGGAAGTTAATGGGATACCAGCTGAGCATCTGCTCCTGGTTGTAGGTGCTTCCCTCTAACCTACAGTGGCTCCTGTGGCAGTTGCACCCCAAACCAGCATTGCTTGGACTTAGGTCTTGCCCCTTGACCCTGATCTGTCAGTGATGCTGTGTCAGCAGTCCTGTCCTGGAGAGGCTCCAGGGAGAGCGTGGGCACGGTTTGTCCGATAGGTCTGTAAATCCATCAGGGAATATTGGCCAGCCGGAGCTGTGGCAGCTGGGCAGGATGCCCCTGGATGTGCCTGCATACCTTCTGCCTGGCTCTTTTTCAGGGGGCAGAGGTGCTGTGTGGTGGGGACCTGTATGTGCCAGATGACCCCAAGCTGAAGAATGGCTATTACATGCAACCCTGTGTGTTAGGTATGATCCTTCTTATTCACGGTACTGTGGTCTGTGTGGATGTTACTGAGTCTCTTCTAGAGAAAGCTGTGTTCAGAGTGACTGTCTCTGTGTACGTCCACAGTGTGGACAGGCACTCATACGTGTGTACTAGGGAGCTGAGGCACCCAAGAACCACATCCAGAGAAATCTCTACTGTTGGAAGGCCTGACAGGGCACATACAGTTTGTGCCTTGGCTGCCTTAAGATGCAGGATGGGACTTGTTGCTCTGCTAGCCAAGCCAGGCGGGCTGTGCGGTGCTGTCCAAAGGCTGTGTGGGTTGCTGAATGCCCAGGCTGTGCTGCTGGCTCTTCCTCCTGAAGCACATATGCTCTGCCTTGCTTCCAGGGAACTGCACGGATGACATGACCTGTGTGAAGGAAGAAATCTTTGGGCCTGTCATGTCCATTCTGCCGTTTGACACAGAGGAGGAAGTTGTGGAGAGAGCCAACAACACCAAATTTGGCCTGGCAGGTGGTGTCTTCACCAGGTATAATTGAGTACTGTGGCTGGTGTGGAAGTGGTCTAGGAAGGGGAGGAGAAGGGAAATACTGCAGCATCTTGATGCTCCTCTTGCTGTGCCTGGCTTGGGCATGGATATTGTCTCCCAGAAAAGTTGAAGCAAGTTATTGCCAATAGAGAACTTCGTAAATGACTGCACATCTCCTCCCAGTTTTTCCTAAAGGGTTAAGTGGGCCCAGCTGTCCTTCAGACTCCTTCCAGCCTGTGCTTGGCCTGCTGCCTGCCTTCCTGCATCTCTGGGAGACGTGCACCAGGAGCCTGCCACGCTGCTGAAAGCGCACAAAGATGGCTGCTGGCCACTTGCCATAGCTGCTTTGGCGGTGTCATTGTCCTGCCCTCTCAAATCAAATGCAGTTTTGAGTGTCCTTGTGAAAAGGTGTTGTATCCTTCGAGCAGGCAGAGAGAGCAGGGCAGGTTGGGCTCCAAACACCTCTGTGACCTGCTGGCCTTTCTCTGTGGGATGTCAGGTGGCAGAGGAGGAGGTGATGAATGGCAAGGGATCCAGCTGAGTGCCCTTTTCCTGCAGGGATATCCAGAAGGCTCACAGAGTAGTGGCTGCTCTCAAGGCTGGGATGTGCTTCATTAACAATTACAACATCAGCCCTGTGGAGCTGCCTTTTGGAGGATACAAGGCGTCAGGTGAGCTCTGTTTGACCTTCTCTGGTATGACTGCATGGTGGTTACAGGGGTACGAGGGGCACCTGGCACTGCTTGGAGCTGTGTTCTCACTTCTGGCTTGTCCCTGCAGGATTTGGCAGAGAGAATGGGCGGGCAGCCATGGAGTACTACTCACAGCTGAAGACTGTCTGTGTGGAGATGGGTGACGTGGAGTCTGTGTTTTAGTAGCTCTGGAGCCTGCTCAAGGGAGCATCAGCCAGTTCTAGCCTGTCAGCTAGAGATGTGGATTTTTTACACAGCAATAAAGTGCTCTAAAATTGTAAGTGCCTGGGGGGGGATCATGCTGGAGCAGCATTTGGCCATCCTGCTCCTTCAAGGGGGAATGTATACATAGGGCTCAGCCTGGGGGCCTGCTCTGTCCTGTCTGGTGAAGGATGGGAACCTTAGAGTAGGAAGCAGCACTACAGCTTTCAGCAGCAGCTTGTGGATGTTTGGCACCACTGGAAGTTTGTGTGCCTTCAACCCCATTGCCTTCCACCCTCAGTCAGCTTTGATTTTGGCTTCTTAACAAGTATGACCCTACTCAGTGCACATATGAGATCTTGGACAGATCAGTATCATGTAGCTATAGGCTCTCTCTGTTCTCCCAACTACGTAAAAGCCTTAAGGGTAGGGTTGTTTGTTCCCTCTAGCCCCCTTGTAAACACAAGTTTTGTTTTTTCTATCTGTACCTTGCTTCAAAAGTGGGACAAAATACTGTGAGGGTGGTTAGCTTATGCTGCCTGGGACCAGGATGGCCTTGAGAATTGTCTCCATGCACTGAATATGGAGCAGAACCAGAGTGGTAGCAAGCATAGGATAGAGTGCTGCTGCTCTTAAAAGCTATTTGACTTCCTTCCTATAAACCTACTGTTCCTTTTAAACATCATGAAACAACAACTTTAAATGTTTGCCTACATCTCTTTTTAGCAATCAAATAAACATTAACTCTGGAATATCTTATTGCAGAGTGACATGAATTGAGGGGTCCAGAAATAGGGCTGCTGCTGTACGGGTTAAACAGGTTGCAAGATGGCTTTTTGGTCACTAAAATCATAAAAACTAGAACATTGCTGCTTGACAGACAGATTTCTGTAGTCTTACAAAACCAGAGTTGTCTGGCATTCTGCAAAACTGCTTAAGAAAGCCCTCTATAACTTCAGAATGAAAATACAGAATTGACAACTTCATTTTATTGAATGAGGAGAAAAGAAAAAAAAAAGGAAATGTTCTAAAAGAAAACAAAAATCCCTTTAGTTTTCCACGCAGCCATGGTGCTGGTTCAGTTAGTCCTGGCAGAGCCAGCCAAGGTGCTGGCAGGCTGAACACACACCTGTGCCCACCAGCCCAATGAGTGCAACTGAACCAATGGTCCCTCTCCTTCGGTTTTTTGGATCTGGAAAAAAGACATGTTTTGTCAGTTCAGCAGCCCATCACTGAAAGATGAGCCCACCCCAGAAATTAAAGACTGAACAGGAATTAGAGATTAAGCTCAAGGCAAAACAGCAGGCACTGGTTCAGGCCATGTACTACCCTCAGTCTGTGCTATTATTAGACTAGTTCTCTTCCTTAGAGCAGGAGAAGCATACTGCAGTTACCACTGTGGCCTGGCACCCTTCTCTCTACACCCTGAGTGGAAGCTTTATGCTACCTCCTTGATGGGAGCTGGAGGAAAGAGCCCTGAGGCCACTGTAGGAGACTTAAGTTTTCAAGCACCTTCCTGTGCTTCAGGGTAAAGACTTACCTCCCGTATAGTAGCCGTAGGCATAAAGGATTCTCCCCAGGATCCAGGCAATGCCAAGCCCTGTGGCAGCCCGCTAGAATGAAACAATAAGCATTAAAGGTTTTGGAGACTTGCCACTTGCATGTGCTTAGCTCTTAACAGCAGCCCTGCTTCAGAGAAGTGAGCACCCACTCTAGCACAGGTCCTGACCTTGCTGGGGCAACTGGGTGTCAGCCTGGGGGAGGTGGGTGGCTGATGGACATGCCAGGTGTACGGTGTTTAGGAGGAGTCACTTTCATGGGGAGGAAGCATGTGATCTGCTGTAGAGCCTTCCTCTTCTGCAGCACAACTCTTCTCAAGCAAGAAATGGTTAAGTCATGCAGGTAGGAGGTACAGAATCTCATTTCACTGCTGTCTAGTTGGTGAGCTAGACCAGTGCCAGGATTTCGGAGGATGAAAAATTTCACATTGAAGTTAGGGCTTGCTGCAACGTGGCTCCAGTTTGCCAGATTTGCCTATGCTGCTTCCTCCCCTCTTCAAAAAGGAATATTCAAGAAGGACCCAATTTGTCTGTTGGTGGCAAGAAGCAAGCTACTGCTATTGGCCTCTCCCACATGCCTGCCTCCTCATGAGTCATCTAATCTTTTAGTTAAAAATAATCCAGGCTTCTTTGGATCCTTGGCACACACCTCCTTGGGTGGTGGAAGCGAGCGGGAAGCTCACCATCTTCCCCATCAGATAAACTCTTCGTGAAGGTGCGCTTAGAAGGGGGGGAAGGGTTCCTGTCCTACTCACAGCCAGCTGCTGAGCAGCACTGTTGTAAGCCCAGTAGGACCCTGTGGGACTTGGAAGAGCCAGCAGGGTCAGAGGGACCCTCCCCACTTGCAGACTGGAGGCTGCGAATGCTTCAGGTTGTCTGACCAGGCACCCTTAGGAGAAGGGAAGGGGTCTAAAGCTGAAGCAGCAGTAATGAATTTATTAAATACTTGTGATTCCCCTGCACAAAACCTACAACTGTTTTCAGGAGGGGCACAGTTGTGAAGTGTGATGTGGCTAGTGAAGCAGCCTGCTGCCTCCCAAGGGGCTAGCTTGGCCTACTGCCCCTACCCCCTCCCCAAGTCAGGGAGAAAGAGCAGAGTTCAGTCATGCAGGCCCTCACTGTAGCGTCACTTACCGGATGGTAGAGTCCACCGGTGGCTAGAAAGAACAGGAAGGCAGGGTAAACTTCCAGCCTGAAAATAAAAGCGAGGAGGTTGTGTTTGTGCTCAAGGTGCTTACAAAGAGGAAGCTCTAGAAACACAGAAGCTGTGAGCAACCCCTGCCAAGGTCTCTCTTGGGCCTGACTGTTATGAGTCTCAGTGCTCGATGCTGTGGTCACAGATGGAGGAAAGAGGGAATCTGAGCATGCACAGACTTTTAGGGATGTCCCACCATCTGTGCTTCTCTCTGAGGCCACCCACCTACTCTTTCTGTTTTGTGCCCAAAGCCACTGCTAAATACCACTTACCACCAGCTAACTCAGGGGCAGTTGTTCCTTCTAGCACCCTGCTGATGTTGCAACCTGGTCCACAGCAGCTGGGTGGACTTAGGTCCCTCCCCAGGGGAGACCTGGGCAGCACACCAAATTGCAAGCCCCCAGACAGGCTCTTCTGGAAACAAGATTTCCAGTTTCTTAAGATCCACCCATGGAGGCAAAGAACTGGGCACTGGGAAGAGGAGGCTGCTTCATAGCCTAGTCTCATAGTTTAACGCTTGGTAAGGAGCCAGCACGGCCTTGAAGTGTTAGATGGTTGTGTGTCCTTCTTGAGCGTTGAGCCTGAACCTAAGCACCTGGCAGCACTGAGTCTCCAGCTGTAGGCCCTGCTCTGCTGACCTGTGTGTTTTCAAGGCCTGAATTCATATGTGTTACTCACGTGTTCTGGTGTGCACGCTGGATGCAGTTGAATATATGCCCGTGTTCAGGATCAGTGCTGTACATGGTTGGATACTGCCAAAAGAAAAAAAAACCAGCAGCAAAATATGAGCAAGTGCGGTCTGGGCTCAGGAGCCTGGTGTTTGCCAGCAGCGAGGAGCATGCCCTGCAGCACCTCTTCCCAGGGAGCTCAGTGCTGCCCGGGTGATTGCAAGACTGATTTATATTGGCAAGTTAGAGCCCGTCTCCTGCCCCGTGGCCCACAAATGCTTTGTTGAAATTGTTGCTTGCCCCAGGCCCCTTCCTGAACTCCCTGAGCAATCTGACTGTCCCTCGGAGCTGGGGACAGAAGATAGCCAGGCACTGGGTGACCTCCCTGTTTAAATCCTACCTCTTGGAAAGGGAGAGCAAGGCAGCATTACCAAGGATCCCATGTCTCCTCCAGGGAGCTAGCAGCAGCCTGTCCCCCAGGAACAGCGTGGGAGGCCAGTGCTGGTCTCCCTACCACAGAGCCGAGCAGCCAGCTAGAGCCGCTGCTAGGCCTCAGAGGCTTCCCTGAATCTGAAATCCAGCGCTGGGCACACCACAGGCGGGGGGTGCATTTGCAGTAATCCTGACTTCATGCAGCAGGAGTGGGGTCACCCCAAGAGGCACCTGGGGGCTGCAGCATACCCCCAAGGCTGTCCTTGCACCCATCCCTGCCTGTCAGGTCCCCGAGTGATGTGGAGAAAGGGCAAAGGAGTGTTTGTGCTCTAAGCTGAGCAGCACAGCCGCCTCCTGTGTGCTATCGCCCTGACTCACCTACAGGATGCTGCCTTCCCCTGCCCCGCCCAGTCCAAAGGCTCCTCAATGGATGCTGAGGGAAGGTCACTCTGGGATAACTAGTGAAAGGGCTCACATGCTCCCCCTGAGTCTAAGAAACCCTCCTTTTTTCTTTTTGTTCCACTACAGCCCCTTTGTCCCCAGTGCTGCATCAGTCACCTTTGCAGGGAAAAAGGGCTGTGCAGTTTCTTGCTCATCACTGTTTCCAAGCTCAAAGCCTTGTGCTTTCACTGTCTCAGCTTGGTGCCAAGCGCCTCATGCCCCAAAAGGAGCTCTGCCGAACTGTCTGCTCCATTCTGGAAAGCCAGAACAGCAGCTCCATCCTTTGTGCATCTGTGTGGTGGGGCAGGAAATCTCACCAAGTTACCCCAAAATAAGCAAGGTGTCACCTAGCTTGTCTGCAGCATCCCCCGCAGACCATCTCCAACCTTTCCGTTCCCTCATCCTCAGCACTCACCTCCACACGGTACTTCTTGCGGGCCTTGGCCACTTTCACTGCGAGGTGCGTGACCAAGATGAAGCTGGCAGCCCCCGTCAGGATGACGTAGCCATACTCCTTTGAGAGAACAGCCATCTTGGTGCTGTCAGAGAAAGAGAGCCCATTACTATTTTGGGGTGTAACTGGGGAAACAGCAGCTTGCTACGTGCAGGTGTGCGTGGAAGAGTTGCTGAGCATGGACCCAAGACCTCCCAGCACAGGGACTGGCTGAAGGGAGAAATGCTGAGTTGGGGAATTTTCACCTCTTGGCGCCTGCTGGGTATTGAGCAGCACAAGCCAAGGGTACTCTGCTCAGTTCTTGTCAAGTAAGCCTTAAAATCACCTACATGTTGGTGGGAGGTGGTGGCTGGAGGACCCTAGTCCAGCCTCTGGCTCAGAACAGGACAACAGCCAATGGTAGGTCCCAGTGTCTCTGTTTGTGGCTGGCTGAGCCCAGCAGCCTCACTGACACAGGGATGTGTCTGCAGGGATGCTCTGCAGGGCTGGATGGAAACTGATTGTTCATGGCCACTTCCAACACCAGAACTAGGGGCCACCAAATGAAGTCAGATTGGAAAGAAAGCAAAAGAGGCATTTTTTCTGCAGTGGGGAACGGACCCGTGGAAGTCCCTGCTGAGGGGTGTTGCAAATGCAGGCAGATTTTGGAAATTCAGGGGGAAACTGGGCAAGTTCTGGGAATAAGAGGGAAGTTGGAAATTGTAATACAGACAAACACAAACTGGCTCAGATATCCCCTGAGCTGAAAGGAGCCGGGCCACGTGAATGGTTAGTCTGTACCACTAAGGTCATCCTTACATAAAATAATAATAAAACCCACCACAATAGCAGTAATAACCTTTTAAGTAAAGAGGCACTGGCCAGACGAGTGATGCTCACCACCACAGCTTCAAGGAACCCTCTTGGAGTCACAAGTTGGTCAACAGCCCCCAGCAACGTGCAGCTCCTGCTGTTTACCAAACACCTGCACAAGCAAGCCTGCTGGCCAGGAGACACCAAGGCCCATGTGGTTTGCATTTAACAGTTCTGCACCTCCTCACACAGGCCTGAGATGGAAGCAGAAGCCTTCACCACGCTGTCCCGCAGCACGGTCGCATCGCACACATCTCCCTCTTTCCTGCTCCCCGTCTGCCAGACATGCCATCAGCCTGCGCTGCTGAGAGCTGTCCAACACCGAGCACCCTCCCTGGCTGCAAGTAAGCACAAGGGCCCTTCCCCATAACCATCTGGCACGAGTGTTCTTGCACAATCCCAAACCTCAGATGTCTGCATGACCCAAGACGGCACGGCATCATACATTGAAGCAGAAGACAGCAGAGACCCCTCTCCAGCACTGAGGTGATTCCCTCTCCAAACCAAACCCTGCCGGGCCCTATCTCCATCTGGTGCCTCCACGATGTAGGGATGTTTTGGTGTCTCCTGCACTGCCCCACCAGCACAACCTGTCAGTGTGGGGTAAAACGGGCCACCTCAAGGAACCGCTGCAAGCGGGCCACCTACTGCAGCAGCGCCAGAACCCCTCACAAAAGATCTTCAGTGACTAGAGGTGTTTATTTCTCATTTCAAAGGGATTATTACTGACGGAGCAAGGTGAGCTCTGTCTACATAAACTTTAGTAAACAAGTATTGGTAAGAAAAAGGAAAACCTAAAGTAATGCAGAAAAGTCAGCTGCACCCGTGTGTAACAGAGGATAGTGCCTGACACATTGAAAATATAACACCCTCCCACTCAGTAGAGCAGGCTGATGGTCACATTTCCCCCTTCAAATTACAAGGTTGGTGAAGAACATGCACCTGCCAGCAAAGACCAGGCATTTTAACTTCACAGCACTAAATTAGAATCTGGGGTTTTATCTGGGCATCAAAGAGCACAGCAAAGCATTAAGCCAGGTGTATTATAAAGCTACTACTCTTACACTACTGGTATAAAACTGTACCTTAGGCCTTTGCTCTAATAATCTGGAGCCATATAAAGCCCTGCAAAGTCAACAGGACTTTCAACTCGTCTCCGCCCGCACGCCTTGCGGCTGTTTCCAGATTCTGGTGCCTTGTTTCAGCAACCTTTGTCCGCAGCTGCAAGGACTTTCCTGACAAGCGCTGGCTCGGTGCACAAGGCTGAATTGCTGGGAGCTGTAGCAGCAGAGCTCGCTGGGGTGGTTTTAGTCCAGAACAGGCGTTCTTACCAAGCTTGCCCTAACACTAACAGTTATTATGAGTCAGCAAAACTGAGTATCCTTGTGCAGACCCACGCGTGGATTCTGGCTGAACTACCAGGGACAAACGCCAGGCCCTCTCTCCAGCCCGGAGGGCCTCCGGTCCGGCCCAGGCTCAGCCCCGGAGGCTGAGCTCCCCGCCAGCCCTGCAGGGCGCAGCTCTGCCCGAGCGGTCCGGGGTGCGGGCAGGGCCCCGCCGCGCCCCGCAGCCGGAGGGACAAAGGGGAAGCCAGGCCTCCGCTGGGTCACAGCGTCGCTGTCTTTTCTTTACCCTCTCTCCGACAAGCACCCCAAACATGCACGCGGAGCACTCGCTCCGCCCTGGCCATCGGCCCCGGCCCCCGCAGGGACAAGGACAAGGGGAGTCCCCGGCCCATACTCACCCTCCGGTGCGGCCCAGGATGCAGCGGGACGGAGCCGGCTCTGGGCCCGGTACCGCCCGCAGGCGGGGCGGGGCGGGGGGAGGTCGCGGTCGAGCTCCCTGGGCGGAGCTACTCGTGTTTGGGGCTGAATTTGACGGGGGTTGCCGCGGCAGTGCCGCACCCGTGTCCCCAGCACGTACATACCCTCAGCAGGCTGCGCTGCCATGTCCCCCTCAGCCGTTTTATCCGAGCAATTATACCCAAGACAAAGATTACAGTTTTGGTTTTCAGGCTACAGTTTAACAGCTCCAAGGCAGTGTGGTCATTTATACCATGCTTGCTGAAATCTTCCCTTGCTTTTCCCTTTTATTTCACCAGACCCTGCTAGTATCAGATGAAGAAGCCAGTGTTTCACACGTGGAGCTGCTGTGCTGGGTCAGGTAAGCAGATACTTCTCCCGGCAATTACCAGCGTTAGTGATATGAAGGATCTTATTTACATCTCTCTTTATTCTGGCCTGTATATGCAACCCTGGGACTTTGGCATTGAAACACAAGCCATTGCCAAGAATACTTGGAATGTGTGTAAGCACTACTTTTTACATTTAAAAAAATCCTGGTTTAGGGATATGTGATACAAAACTGGAGCTGGATTTTCAGTTCTGTAAATGTTCATAAAACAATGGAGGTAGAGAGGGTCCGGCTGCAGGGGGACAGACGGTGTCTTTAGCTGTCGTGGCTGTAACAGGGAAGAAAGCAGGATGTACTAGGATCCCTGGCCCCTAAAGTCCTGGTTTTAATCTCTTTGCTCACCTACCTGCCTTTCCACAGCAGAAAGTTCTTGGATTCCCTGGGGCTCCAGCTGAAGTTATCTGGGCTGGTCCCAATAAGCTCTACTGGGTTTTCTGGCCAGAAAGGCCTTGGTGAGCTCCCTGGCTACAGCCAAGTGCTGGGGCCTTTCCTATGTTTCAGATTTTACCTCTTCAAGCCGGTCCCTGTGACCCTGCTCTTCCATAGTCTCATGGTAAAGCAGGAGTATAAATGCCTGGCACTGCGCATCTCTCATCCCCACCCCACCTCACCCGCAAATGAATATTTTTCCAGGGTCCTGTATCCCAAGTTGAGGTAGCACAGTGAATGAAACCGGAGCACAGAGACTTTCTTCTTGTGCAGTTTTATTTCACTTCAAAAAAATAGCATCTAGAGTGGAACATAATGTGGGAAATTGGGCAGGAAGGGCCTGCCTTTAGTTCCCACAATGGGCGTTCAGTAGGATTTGTCGGGCTGATCCTAAGTGTCTGTGTCTTCCTCCTCCTCCTCCTGCTTTGAAGTGTGGACTTCGTAGATGACAGCACAGATGCCAGCCAGCCAGGCTGCCACAGTGCCAGCAAAGAATATGCAGAAGCCAATGAGACACAGAAAGATGTAGTCTTGCTTGTACAGTTGGGTCAGGCAGTTGAAGTGGAGCTGTGCCTCCACTGCAGGCATTTTCAGGGCACGCAGGCCTTCTGGAGTGTAGCAGGTGATGTTTTCAGCATCTAGAGAGGGAAAAGCAGAAGTGAGACTCTCTTGCCTGTGTCTTAAGTATTAGTGAACAGGAGTTCTGATAGAAAAATAATGGAGGAGTTTATCAAACTCCTGAAAAATGTCTACAGACTTGACACTTCTCTCCCTCTGTGGCTTAGGTAAAATCAGACAGGCAAACCCTTGCCAAACCACAGCTGCCAGGTTGCCAGAGTGATTTCTGTAGTGTTGCCTCCATAGGAAGATATTGCCCGTTCGATCATGCCACTGCGGCAAACTGCTGTCTCTGCATTGTTCATCTCTGCTGACTGAGCACTTATTTTAATATAAGAGCACTTGTGCTTGGTTTTTTTAATCTCAAACACCCTCTGAAGTGATACAGCCTAAATTATGCTGGAATAATGAGGCTTGTGCGCATTTGACAGTTTGGGTGGTTTGCAGTTAGACATAGCCTCGCCTTCTCTGTGAGGGAGGAAGAGGAAACTCATCAATGATTCAGTTCTACTGAAATAATGACTATACCCTGTTGTATTGTAATATATGCAGTGATAAAACAGATGCCGGCTTTTCCCTCTGAAGTTAGCGAAGGCTGAGCGTGGTCAAAGCACCATTCCCTTTTGGTGTCTGTAGAAGTACAGTGTGCTCTCAGCCCTGGCTCTCTCCTTCCTCTGCAGGACCAGACACAGTTACTGTGCCAGACATGGGCTGGGCACTGCTTGATGTGCTGCTGGATGGATGGGCCATAGGGAAAGGCAGCAGTGGAGAGGAACAAGCTACAGGGGGTTTATATTGTATTACATTATATCATATTACTGACTGATGTAGCTGCAGTGGTTGTTCATGCTGGTATCTCTCATTGTTCTAACTGGAGAGCTCTTATCTCTCTGCTACCCAAATCCATCTTGATTTGGGAAACTTCATATCAGCCCCTAAACTGCACAGATCCAGTTGACCACAAAACATGGGTGCAGGGCTGTTCTGTGAAGCAGCAACAGCTTTTTTAAGGCCAGGATGGGGATCTGCTTGCAGCAGATTTCAGGGCTCTGTCCCAAAATCCTTTTTCACTGGAGCTGTCAGCTCCTGTCACAACCCTCGGTTTAGGGCTGCCTAGTCCCGATGAAGAGGCAGCTGCCTTTCTCTGACTAAAGGCAGGTGGGCATTTGTGACATGAGGTGTCCAGCCTGTGTACACTTGCCATCAGCGTGAAGGCTCTGCACAGCCCTCACACCAGTCCTGGGAAGCATACGGTCTCCTGTGGACTCGCCCACAGCCTCCTGCCAGGACACACTGAAACCCAACAGAGCAGGGGAAGTGGAGCAGCCTCCATGGGCTTCCTGGTTTCTTTGACTTTCACATTTTCCAGAGCACAGTGCAGGGATCTGTACTCAAACTACTTGTCTTTGCTACCACCACCTTTCCTACTCCTAACGTCTCAAATGGTCTGCAATGAGCTTTGTTCTCCTGTGCCAGGGCTCAGTGTGTTATCTCCAATCTTACTGCTAAGAACAATACCTTTTTACACTGTTCCATAACTGCCTGTAACCTGTATGTGGAAAATAAAAAACTTTACTCTCTATAGGCAGCTTAGTACATCTAGTAAGACACAGAGGTATCCTTAATTTGGTCTGTCCTAACACCAGTTCCCATTTGCCCTTCACTTTTCTCCCCTTGGGCCCTTTCTTACTTGCTGGACAGACTTTCTCAAACAATTTCTCTTTTGCAGCACTCTCTCACCATTGTGTAGTGCATTACTGAAAACCAGGCTTTCTCTGTTAGTATGGGCTGCGCTGTGTTCCTCCTCTTTAGTTTGGAAAAATCGAGTTTCTGTGCTGCAGCTGCAGAACAACACTTTGCCCTTTGGGCCAGTGTTTTCCTGGGAACTGGTGATTACTCTAACTCATGAACACTCCGTGTCCACGGCCCAGTTGTAGAATCTCTCAGTATGATAGGAAACAGCTGATTTGGGGATCCCAGATGATGTAAGGAAAGAAGTTTTGGAGACCCTGTTTTCAAGAAATGGCTTTTATTCAGAAGCAAGCTGCACTGTGCTGCTGCAGCCCATGGGACTCAGGGCTCACCTGCATTGCACATACATTCCTTATTTCGAAAAACTTTTTTGCTCTGAGGTGCTGGAGGAAGAGTGGGAACAATTTAGATCTTCCCAGCCATAAGGATACAGATGCTTTTCTGAGTGCAGCTTGTGTTCTGTCAATCAAATTTCATCTGGGATCCAAAGTAGAGGTCCCGTGGGAACAGCAAACTTTGCTGACTTCTGAGCATTGGGTCAAAGTATGATAGAATCAGCCAAATGTACCTGCTCTGAGGGCTGAGGAGCACCGTGACAGCTGGAGGCTGCAAGATTTGTAATTTTTATTTGTCCTAGCACAAGAGCTGCCGGGCTCTTAAGGCAAAGAGCATTGCATACACCCTTCATGTACAGAAGTGGGTTGTTGGGGAGCAGGGTGTGATCACAGCCCCATGCAAGTCAATAGCTAAACTCTTGGCTGGCTTCCACACCACCCAGACTTTTCCCAGAGACCCTGACAGTGGGAGATGAGAGCAGAAGAGCTGACTGGCTTTCAACCTGGCTTTGTGTTCAGCACTGAGCAGCGTTGCTGCTGTAGAGGTTGCACAAATGAGGTCTGGCGGCCAGGCATGTTGTGCAGGAAGAGGCTAGTGAGAGGTTCAAGGTGAAGGGGGCACTGGAACAGTGGAGAGCTCAGGGCTGGAGAGGCTGCCCGAGAAGGTCAGAACAGAGGCAGGACAGCATTTCCACAGAGAGAGGAGGGTTAACTGATCACTACAGACATACTGGTACTGTGGCAGCACCAAAGGATCCAAGCAGATGGAGACAAGGCAGGAAATTCAGAGCAGCAGCTTTCCCAGCACAGATCTCCCCAGAGCCACGTTGGGCTCCTCGCTCTTGGCACTGCAGCCATGGGGTGCTGTGACTCGCAGGCACAGGGACACCTCCAGAGGCTGGAGCCAGGCATTTCAGAGCAGCAGCAATGTCTTAGCCACATGTTACGCCTCCCTGACTGTCCTGAGGATGTGAGCAAGTGTGACTCTGTGGGTGGAGTGTGTGTAACCCAGCTGCGCTGATCGGTTTTGTGCAACACCAGAAGATGGGACCTACAGTTGACATGCAATGGCACAGCCCAGTGAGCTGAAGTTTTGGGAAAGAGAACAGAGGGCCCTCTCCATTCCACACAGATCTGCAGGAGTAGGGAGGAGAGGGGTCCTGTTCACACAGCCCTCACCTGAAAAATGCACGTTGCTTTCTGTCATCCAGTTGATGAAGTCCAAAAAGGAACAGTTGCAGTGCCACAGGTTGTCACTGAGCCCCAGAAACCTCAGGTTGGGCAGGTCCCGGACGGTGCTGGTGTCCAGGAACGTTAAGCCTGTCCGGCTCACATCCAGATGCCTCAACCAGGTATTATTGGCAAAAGCATCCTTCTCAATGGCCACAAGGTTGGGATTGTCTGAGATCTTCAGCACTACCAGGCTGAGGAGGTGGGAGAAAGTGCTGAAGGTGACCTGTGTGAGGTTGTTGAAGCTGAGGTCCAGATAGACAAGCTTGGCCACACCAATGAAAGTGAAATCCAGGTCATCCCCCAGGAGGTTCTTCCTGCAGTCCAGATAGACTAAATCAGCCAAGAAGCTCAGTTCCACTGCTGGCAGGTACGACACGTTGTTTGCCGCCAGAATCAGCTGCCTGGTGTCCAGTGGGATGGCTGCAGGGAACTCCTGCAACTGCTGCCCTGTGCAATTCACTTCCAGGTACTGACAGCTACACCTGCTCGGGCAGTTGGTCCTCTTCGATGCCATCCCCATCCCCAGAAGAAACATGAGGCTCAGGGGCCACGATCTACCTGAAGAAGACATGGTCTAACACCTTCCAGACCGCTCAGCCCGTTTGGGGACTGCAAGCAGCCCTATGCAAGCTGCGTTACCATCACAGCCATGCCGAGGTGTCTGGCTGCAAGGTAGTGCTTTGTGTCCGTGACTCACCTGACTCCTTGGCAGAATGCCTGGCTAGAAACCGAGCCCGGTTTCTACATTGGCAAGTGCAGAACCGTGGCTGGAGTGTCTCCATGTCACACTTGCTGTCAGGTGACACCTCTGTGATGTCAACAGCTTGCAAAAGCTGCCCGGCTTCGGAACAGTGCTGTGACCTCGCTGGCTGAGCAGGCGCTGCTTTTGGCTGAGAGGCAGTGCAGGGAAGGCATGTATTGGGTGAAATCATCAAAACTGCGCAGGGCAAGGGCAAATGGTGTGAATTTTGTCACAAATGGTGTCAAACTGCAAGAGGTGGTCATTTGTACTGATTAAACAAGAGAGCCCTGCGCGATGCTGGAGTGGACTGGGTTTGTGTCCCTTCACGAGGCAGAAGAAGGCAGCTAAGGAGTGTGGTGGGCAGAGGAAGCAAGCAGCCGATTCAATGTGAATGATAGAGGAAGCTTCAACTTTATTGAAAGAAATCACACCTTATATCAGCACTCTACAATACACTACTTGTAACTCTATTGGATACATTAAAAAAGCTACATTATAATATCTCAGCCATTGGGTACATCGAAAAGGTCACATTGTAATATCCCAGCCCCTTGTAGCATTTCTGGTATGCATAAACATTTTTCTTGCTTTGAACCTGTTTCCCTCCCAGGACTGTTTTTGTCTCACCCCCAAGGTCATAATGCGCCCCAACTTATCTCTTTGTTCTCACCACAGTCCTTGCTAGCACAACTGAGCCTTGGGTCTTCATCCTTGTTTACATAACTGTACCCTGGGTTCTTTCCTTTGTTTACCTCAGGTGGCTGTGACCGACTTCTGCAGGGAGCTATGGCCTTGCTCTCTGCAAGCCGTTCTCCAACAAAGGAGATTCCTGCAGGGGCATTTTTACTGAGGACAATTTTCCCAAGCCACCTCAGCATCCGCCGCTGGCTTGCCGCGGTGCTCCTCCGCCTGCCTTGCCCCGGCAGAGGGCCGCTGGCTGTAGGTGTCGGTGCAGCGCTCAGCAGGGCCAGCCGGCCCTCCGCAGCCCCGGGAAGCCACCACGACGCTGTGGCAGCGAGGGCCGAGCGGGGCAGCTCCCCGCGGGCTGTACCAGCCGCTCCCAACGCC